ATCCAGAGCCTGGCGTGTCGCACCACTGTGGTGCATGCTGCCATGTGGCCGAGGATTTGAAGGCATACCCGAGCCGTGGTTACCGGGAAGGCCGTGACCGAGGCGACGAGGCCTTTGAGTGCCTCAAACCTGTCCCTTGGAAGGGAGGCCGTGGCCGCCTGGGAATCCAGCAGTGCTCCTATGAATTCTATGCGCTGGACAGGAACTAACGTGGATTTCTCCTCGTTTACCACTAGGCCCAGAGCGGAGCAGGTGCGTACCAAGAGGGATATTTGCTGCTGCACCTGGGACCGGGACCTGCCCTTGAGCAGCCAATCGTCCAGGTAGGGAAAGACCTGCAGCCCTCTCCTCCTGAGATGGGCCGCTACCACCGCCATACATTTGGTGAAGACCCTGGGGGCCGTCGAGAGGCCAAAGGGAAGGACTGTAAACTGGTAGTGGTCCTGACCCACCAGGAAACGGAGGTAGCGCCTGTGACCCTCTAAAATGTGGATGTGGAAGTAGGCATCCTGAAGGTCCGGCGCTGCAAACCAATACCCCAGGTCTAGAGAGGGAATAATAGAGGCTAGGGACATCATGCGGAATTTGTAGCTAACCAAGAACTGGTTGAGCTTCCGCAGATTGAGGATGGGCCGAAGCCCGCCCTTCGCCTTCGGGATGAAGAAATACCTGGAATAGAATCCCTTGCCCCGGAATTCCCAAGGTACCCTCTCCACGGCTCCCAGGGAGAGGAGGCGCTGTACCTTCTGACCTAGGAGGAGCGCATGTTCCGAGTCCTCCGCCAACTTCCTGGCCGGAGGGCAATTGGGAGGGGGCGAAACAAACTGCAACCTGTACCCCAGGGATATAGTGTTGAGGACCCAGCAGTCCGTAGTGATATGGAACCATTGCAAACAGAAGGCAGGTAAACGATTTGCAAACCTTAACTTTATTAACTGGGGGGGGTTAACCTGGCAACAGGCCCGGTGACCCCCTGCAAGCAGTCAAAAACGCTGCTTCCCTGGCCTCCTGGCCATAGAGGGCCCCGGATGAGGGGCCGAACGGGATTGGCGTTGTGACCGGCGCCTCTGCTCCCGCTGCTTCTTAGGCAGGGGCTCATATCTACCCCGAGCCTGTGGAGCGGAGGTGTGAGGCCTGGGCTTGTCCTTGGCCGGCGGGACGTACAAGCCCAGCGTCTGCAGGGTAGTACGGGAGTCTTTCATTCCATGCAGACGTGTGTCTGTTTGATCTGCAAACAGGGCCCGACCATTGAACGGCAGGTCCTGCATGATCAACTGGGACTCAGCCGATAGGCCAGAGAGCGAAAGCCAGGACGCCCTTCTCATGGAAATCGCCGCGGCCATCGAACGAGCAGCCGTGTCCGCCGCATCGGAGGCCACCTGGAGCGCCGCTTTAGCCGCCGCCGCACCCTCATCAACAAGAGCCCGGAACTCCTTCCTGTCCTTCTCGTGGAGGGAGGGCTCAAACTTGGGAAGGGACCCCACAAGTTAAAATCATATCTGCTCAAGAGTGCCTGGTGGTTGGCCATTCTGAGCTGAAAGCTGGCAGACGAATAAACCTTTCTCCAAAAGGAATCCAGCCTGCAAGCGTCTTTGTCCTTAGGGGTAGGAGCGGGTTGGCCATGTCTCTCTCGGTGGTTCACCGACTCCTCCACTAGAGAGTTCGGAGTTGGGTGGGAGTATAAGTACTCGTGCCTCACTAATGTGAGCCTCGCCCAGACAGCGAAGACATTGAGTGTGTGGATCGCTTCTGGGCATAGAATTGCGACAAGAGTCGCACGACTTGAAGCCTGGGCCACGGGGCATGCCCCGAGCCCAGCACTAACAGAGAAAGTTCAACAAGTAACTTCAGGGAAAGCTGGATACCACTAAGGCTAGAAATGCTGCAGCAAAGCTGGAGCACAAGTTCTGACTACCTTCACTGGCGGCAAGAAGGAACTGAGGGTGGGGGGAGCACGCAGCCCCCTTTATAGTGCCATATGTCGGCGCCACTCCAGGGGTCGCAGCGGTGCTCCCCCACTACGGATGCTGCTAAGGGAAAAACTTCCGGCACCGGTGCACGTGGCGAGCACACACACCTACTGTGGCATACACAGGAGCAATCACTCGAAGAAGAGAAGAGTGAGAAGGGATTTGATAGCAGCCTTCAAGTACATGAAGGGGGGTTCCAAAGAGGATGGAGCTAGGTTGTTCTCAGTGGTGGCAGACGACAGAACAGGGAGCAATGGTCTCAAGTTGCAGTGGGGGAGGTTTAGGTTGGATATTAGGAAAAGCTATTTCACTAGGAGGGTGGTGAAGCACTAGAATGGGTTACCTAGGGAGGTGGTGGAATCTCCATCCTTAGAGGTTTTTAAGGCCTGGCTTGACAAAGCCCTGGCTGGGATGATTTAGTTGGGATTGGTCCTGCTTTGCGCACGGGGTTGGACTAGATGACCTCCTGAGGTTTCTTCCAACCCTAATCGTCTATGATACGTAACTTGTTTGTATCAGTGTATAAAGAGGGGTTTAAGAGGGAGTGTCTTTGGCTAGTCAAGATGGGGAATGGAAAGTTCCACCATTCACTTGAGCTGAGCCCATTGCAATGGGCATACATATGTTAGTGTACCGGTAACCATTGAGCAATGGCATTAGGACTGTGCTTCGTTGACAAACCTGGCCAAGTGCTTTCTCTCCTGAAACGGGTCTATGGTCTTTTGGGCAATTTTATCAAGGTCTGCTGTGTCAGCTATCTGCGCAGAGTTGAGGCAGCACACAGAAAGAACACACACACACACACACACACAGCCAACGACTAACTACAGTTCTGACTGAGGGAAAGTCTGTCATGGCTAGGAAGAATGATGATTGGTGAGAGAAACCATCTTGAACAAACCCTGAACCCTGCTAAATGAAGTTTTAGACTCAGATGTGTATTTTCACTTTTATTTGCTTGTGACCCTAACTTTCTCTTATACCTGAACTCACTTAAAATCCTAGCTTCTTTTGTTAATAAATTTGTTTTACTTTTAATCTAAAGCACCAGTACTGTATTTGAATTAAAGTGAATGTGGAAAGCTGCCAGGCTGTGTGTCTTTAGAGGAACAAACAAACCCTATTATTTCTCTGAACTGTCCAGGAGAGGGGTGGACACTACAGAGCACGCAGTTTTTGGAAAAATTCATGATTGGAAGTGTGTTGGGGTCACCCTGCAAGTAGTACCCAAGGCTGGTGGAGACCAGGAAGAGCATATTTGGTGTGCTGCTGATGCCAGAGCTGCTAAACCAGAGCTGTTCAGCCCACAGACACTTAGGCTGTTACCTGCATGCTGACAGGTTGGTTGTGAGCATCCTAGGCTCGGAAATACAGCAGCAAAGCATTGAGAGGCATCCCATGGTACAGGGTCACTGGTGTGGATTGCACCCCAAACCCCATAACCCCTCCCCCTTCGAGAAAGCATTCACATGTCTAATTTCTTCCGTCCAAAGACTTCTGTGGATGCAGGGTGATTGGGGTCCACGGGCAGGGCTGGAGTGCATGATGTTTGGCACAACTGGGATGGTGGGGTGGCTGGGGTGCACTGGCAGAGTTGGGGTGCACAATGGTTGAGGTGCACTGGCAGAGTTGGGGGATGCAGGGAGTTGGGGTGCATGGTAGGTGGCACAGCTGTGTGTGCAGGATGTTTGCGGTCCACTGGCATAGCTGGGAGATGCAGGGGGGTTGAAGTGCACTGGCAGAGTTGGGGGGTGCGATGCCTCCCTCACCTAAACTCCCAACATCTCTCGCCTCCCCTTAACATACATTCACATTTATCCTCCTCCCTAAACTCCCCCACCGTTCCCTCACCTCTCCACCCCCTAGTACTCCTTCCCTCCCAGGAAGCATTCACATGTCTAACCCCCCCCAATAAAATAGTATGATTACATTCCCCCAAATAAAGCTGCCTCCATCACTCACAAATGGTAGTAATGTCCAGCCACTCAGTTCAAAACTCCTTTTGTCTTAGATGAGGGCTTGTGATTAATTTTACCTTAGTTTAGTTAATTGAAGGGTGAGTTCAAAGCCATCAGTGGTGATTTCAGTCATCAAATTCAACAAGGCATGTGATTCTACCAGTGATTAGTACTTCTTCATTTAACAGCACAAGGAAGCAGAAGGAAGGTGGGAGGTGGGGTTTGGGGGGAAAGCCCCATAACTCATGAATCCCAGAGTCAAATGACCTCAAATTTGGATCACTAACAAACACTACACTGCACTCCATGAGGCACCCCAAATTTTGAAGCAATCCAATTAAACATTCAGATTTTAGACAGCTTACAAGCTTTGAGCTTTAAAACATATAAAATGACAAGAATAGAAACCGTCTAGCTATTTTTCTGTATTGGTGTGTGCGCAGTGCAGAAAATGCACATTTTAATTTTCTCAGGCTGGCATCACTATGTTGGGTAAATCTTGGCAGCTTATTAGTGGATGAAAATGGAGTCAAACAGTTTGATCTCAACTGCTAAGCGAAAAAAAACCCCATCCATAAGTTTCTTTAAAAATGGCTATTTTTTTCAGGGTTCATATTGCCAGAACAGTACATACACGACTCCAATATGGGTGACTAACCCTACCCTGCACCTCCCTGACGCACATCAAATTTCAAATAAATCCAACTAAGTACATCAATTCTAGAGAACTTAGAATAAGGCAACCGTCAAACAGATGTCTTAATGCAACTGTAACTATAGCAGTACTGGCATGCCATTATCATTCACTCACACACACACACACACACACACTCTCTCTCTGCCCCCCGCCCCGCTGGAAGTTCATTCAGCCAAAAGTATAGAAAAATAACAGAGCTGTAATGTGAAGAACCATAACATGTGCCCATTTCCGATTTACAGCTTGGTTTACTCGGAGGCAGTTGTACTAATCAACTTAAATGAATAGGTAATTTAGGACTAGAATTTCTCTTCTTGCACATATCATGAAAAATGTGAACTTCTCTGTACATCTGATAATGATAAAAATACCTACCTTCGGCTTGTGATGCTGGTGATCTTGCCCACTTCTTAATGCAGTTCAGATGAAACACATGATAACAATTCTGACAGCTCCATACCGGGGCTATTGTTCGGATCACCTCACAGCACACCATACACTCATATTTCTCTGTGGTCAGCTGCTCTATCAGAGAACCTGAAAAGAAAATTCAATATGTACACACCTAAATTAATCAAGACAATATACACAAGTTATACACACTAAAAATAGCACCAAAATATGCTACACTTTAAATGCAATTTTAGAATTTATTTCTCCCTGTGGATGTAATGAAAAGCTTTTTCCTCGGTTAGAAAAGCTGAAAGATTCCAATCCAAAAATTTGATACAAATGTTCAACTATCTTGTGTGTCAGTCTCTTAAATTTGGGCAAAAGCAATAATAAATTGTTCAGGTGTTTCCTTTAAACCTATCAGTGATTCTTACCTGACAGAAGAGAAAATTTAGCTTTTTTCTACTATTTACAAAGAATACCGCAAAATGTACATCACTATACAAATCTCAAAGTGAATGAAGTTAAAATCCTGTACCTGTGCATTATTTACAGACCAGTTGAATAATGCAGTACTGGGAACACGCAGAAGACTTCATACTCCACGCACAAGAGGAAGCACTTTCTAACTGGCTGTTTTAGGAGCAGAGTTGTGGGCCCCAGACAGAGCCACATTCAAATACTCTAGGCCAAAGGGATGGTTGCCATAATATGGGACCATTTTAGTATGCAAAGTAGCATCAAAGACTACCCTGAAAACAAAGAGGGAAGTGCACCTTAAACACAAGGTGGAAGAAACTAAAAACAGATGGTGGGAAAAGTCTGAAAATACATTAAGGTGTGCAAATATAGTTAGGGCAGCCAAACAACCTTAATTCTGCCCTATAGCTATACCATGGGAGTGGGGGGAGGAGAGGAGAAGAAGAAAAACAAACAAACAAGTGCCTCTTTAGAAGTCAGTTTAATCTGAGTCCACAAAACCTAAAATACCTTAATCATAGTTGACTGGTTTTGCACTGTGTCACTACAGGGTGCATTTAAGGTTTCTCCTGAAGGACAATTTAATATTTTTAAGTTATGAAAAAATGAGGAAAAATGACCACTAAGCCTAAAAGAAATATTACAATGCTGCCAATGCACAGAATTTTAATATGGGAAGTTTGAAAAGTTGGTGATAGGGCAATAGTTAGTGTAATTTGGGTTCCCTAGCACATACATGCTACTTTCACGTTCCCTTCTGGCTTGATGACGGGATCCGGTGCAATGGTGGCTTTTGAAGACATTTAGGATAAATGGTCATTTTTTACTTTTATTTGTCAAGTTACCTGGCACAAAAAAAATTTCCCTTCCAAAATGACCATCTCCCACAGTCCTCAATGGGACTGATGCCACATCCTGCCCTTGGGGATGATGGTGGAATCAAGATGCTCAGTCCCACTGGGAACAGTGAAAGAGAGATCCCTTTCAAAAGGGCCACCAAACACCACAATGGCTTCAATCTTATTAAGACTTCTTTTCCTCTTAAGTATTTTTATGTGGTTGTGCAGAACACTGGCTCGTGTATGTTGGGGTACCATCTAATAGTTGGTCTGCTTTAGAGGAGGACAGTCTGCTGCTGCAAGGCCACATTTACACTACAAACTTTGGTTGACTTAAGTTATGTCAGCATAAAGCCACTGCAGTTAGAGTATGGCTGCTTGGGTTGGTTCTACACATCCTCACCAGCAGTGCCCATCCCAACACAAACTTCGGTGTACGAGAGGTACACCTAGGTACTCTGCATCACCCTCCAGTAAAATACCTTTTGATAAATTGTTGCAACATGTTATGGGGTACACACAAGCTGCATGGGGGTTAGGGAGGCTGAGGGCAAGAGTCAAGTTGACATCATGTAACTTTCTCCATCCCATAATACCATCCCTATTCCATAGTTTTTCAGCTTTTTAAAAATACCACAAACCCACTGTGACGGGATCCCTGGGGCACAACCTGGAACTGGGGTACCACTGTGCCCCCTTAACTCTCCAGCCTCGGCTGTCTCTCACAATGCTTTGCTAGTGACAAGCAGTCAACCCCTCTAGGCGCTGCTATCACTCAGCACAACAGCATGTCGAGGATCACATTCAGCTAGATTTCGTGAATGCTCCCAAAGCCACTCACAAATCACACAGAAAAAGGCACCAATCAATTTCCCCCATCACCTCAGCCTTGCACCCCAGAGCTGTACTGTCTTGCCCTGGTCAGTGTAAGTTTATTACCCAGTCTGCCCCTCCCTCAATGGGGAGGACATACACCAGCCTTTGTAACCTGAGCTGAGATTTCCCCAAGCACCTCAACCAAAATACAGTTTTAGGTAAAATATAAAACAGATGTATTTACTACAGAAAGATTGTAAGTGATAATAAGTGGTAGGTATAACAGGTCAGAAAAAGTTACCAAAGAAAAATAAAAGGTAAGCACACAATCTAAGGGCTGGTCCACACTACCCGCCTAATTCGGCGGGTAGAGATCGATCTTCTGGGATCGATTTATCGCGTCTCATCTGGACGCGATAGATCGATCCCAGAAGCGCTCCCCCGTCGACTGCGGAACTCCTGCTCGCCGAGAGGAGGAAGTGCTGTCGACGGGGGAGCCTGCCTGCGCCGCGTGGACCCGAAGTAGGTACTTTTAGTTCGATATAGGAAACGTCGACTTCAGCTACGCTATTCTCGTAGCTGAAGTTGCGTTTCCTATATCGATCCCCCGCCCCAGTGTGGACCAGCCCTTAGTCTCAAACCTTATTACACAAGGCAGTATTTAGATCAAGCATTTTTCTCACCCCACTGGATGTTACAGTTCTTAATACACAGACTTCTCTCTCTCAAACCTGGGACCAGTCTCCTCAGTTGAAGTCTTTGTCTTCTCAGCATTCTTGTTTCCAGCATAGGTGGGGGAGGAGAAAGGCAAATGCATGATGCTACTGTCCCTTATTTTATACCCTCAGTCCACCTGCCTGGAAAATACTAGCCCAAACACATCCTGGTGGGCTTTGCTGAGTCACAGGGTTGAGTGATTCCCCTGGTGTGGTCTTGTGCAACTGTGATTGAATTGTAAAAAAAAACTTTTATTACAACTCCCCTGCTAATTAACTGTCGTTGAACACCCTCCTGGGCAGGGATTACATCCTTTATATGTCACTAGCAAATTTACAGCATATTTCAGAAACAACCATACAGCAAAGTCTCATAACTTGATGCACACTAACAATATACGTATTTTGACAGTATGGGTTTCAGCAGATCATGACCTTTCATAAGGTATCTTACATGACATGCTTTGTATGAAATATATCATAATTATGCAACGTGTGAATATGGGAGTTCCAGGGTGGTGCTTGGAGGTAAAGTGTGCCACACCCGCACACACAGCACTTTTTTCTGGCCCTCGCCCTCCAGTGGATGAACACCAGAATAAGAGCTGCATTGACAGTTAAGAAGTAAGTGGCAATCACACAGTGGAATCTTGCAAAGCTGGATTGCTACCAGTCAATGGGAAATCTTTTGGAGTTGGAAAATCCACAGCAGAGGCTGTTACCACACCAGCGTATACCGCGATTTAGCAGATCCTGTTACACAGGACAGCAATTCTAGGAAAAATGCAGGGCATCGTGGATGGATTTGCAGCAATGGAGTTCCCAAACTGTGTTGGGGTGATAGATGGTGTACACATCCCTAATTTGGCACCAATCCACCTTGACAGAGTACATCAACAGACATGGCTCCTTTTCTGTGGTTCTGCAAATGTTGGTGGATCATGGGGAATACTTCACAGATATCAACATGGGCTGGTCAAGGAAGGTATGGGATGTGCACATCTTTAAGAACAACAGGACTGCTCACAGGAAGCTGCAGGCAGGGTCATGCTTTTCCAACCAGCATATTTCATTGGCGATGCTGAAATGGCAATAGTGGTGAAGCCTCATGAAGCCTTACCCTGGCTACCCTGACACACCAAAGTTTCAACTACCAGCTCAGTAGGTGCAGAATGACATTTGAATGTGCTTTCAGCAGACTGAAGGGATGCTGGCAGTGTTTACTCACTAGATTAGATCACAGTGAGAAAAATATCCCCCTGGTTATAGCTGCCTTTTGTATCTTGCATATCTGTTGAGCAAAGGGGGGAAAAATGCCACTGGGGTAGAGGGCAGAGATGGAGTGACTGTCTGATTACTTTCAGCAGGCAGACACAAGGACCATTAAAGATCTCATTGAGGATCTATGTGGCTGAAGGAGCACTTTAACCGTCACCCACAGTAATGTGCTGTGCTGTTCCTGGCCTGCAGTTTTAGAGGCTGTTAGGAATTGTGTACCATTTATGAACATCACATGGTCTTTTAATGCATCTATGAATTTTGCCATGTTTGCTGTACATTTGTAATTAACACTTTTTTTTTTAACTGTACCTATGAATTCAGTGGTCCTGTACATTTACAAGTAGTAGATGCTTTGAGTAGAACTAGGCATCCTGGAGTACATGCTGTGAAGTAATAAAGATGGATTTATTTTCAAAAAATAAGAAGACAAAAAGTACAATTAAAAACAAACAAAATTCAAACTTCTAAAATAAATTATCAGAACAGAACTTTAAAATCAGAACAGTAGAAAACATTCCTGTCCATTTCAGTCCATTTTGGCTACACATACGCTGACCTGAGAGAGCCAGGGGGATGTACCCTGTTTCCCCAAAAATAAGACATCCCCCGAAAATAAGACCTACTTCCAGTTTTGCCTCTCGCTGTAATATAAGACATCCCCCGAAAATAAGACCTCCGCGATAATAAGGCCACCCCGGAATATAAGGCCCCGAAGCTCCAGGAAAAATAAGACCTCCCCTGAAAATAAGACCTAGCGCATCTTTGGGAGCAAAAATTAATATAAGACACTGTCTTATTTTTGGGGAAACACGGTATGTGAAGTTCTGGTTGTCCTTACTGTCCCCAGGCATGGAGTAACAGGGGTAGGGATTCAGCCCATGATGCCACCTGGAATGTTGAGAGGTTGTAAGGGAATGTAGTGGGTTAGCAGTGGGTCCTTCCCCTCTGGGTCAGTGGAAGGCCACTCCACCTCACTACATCAGTGGGCATCACCCACAGTCAGGGATTTAGCAGAGTAAACAGTCTAGGGCTCTGGCCCCTAGGCAAGGCAGAGCTGCAAGGATGTATGGCTCGGGCCTTTGTCAGGGCAGAGCACCAAACAGTCTAAAAGCTTCCGGCCCTCAAGCAAGGCAGGGCAATGAGCAGTGTGTGATCTCTGGCCCTTAGGCAGGGGCAGAGACGCAATTAGTCTCAGGACTGGGTACCAAACAGTCTCGGGCCTCAGGAGGGGTTTCTCTGACCTCTGAGATGGGGCAGAGCAGTAGGCAGTCTATTGCCTGACATCTTGGCTCAGGTAGATGGCAGACAAATGCAGGCCTCGTGGCCTAAGGTGGGGAGGCTGCCACCCCGTGATGGGGGGCAAGGGAACCCAGGCCCACCCAACGGCCCTACAGAGTGTTCCACCAGTGGGTCAGCGGGGAATCCAGCCGCAACATGCTGATCAGGTTTTTGGCAGCAATGCAGACAGACTGGGTCAGCTGTCCCTGGGCCACCTCCTCTCCTTGGGGTGGATCTGGATTCGTGGGGGTACTCCATTTCCTCAGGGTAGATGCTGGGATTGCCACTAGCTGACTCCTCAGTGCCTCGGTCAGCTAGCAGCTCTGGCCAGTCCTCAGCTCAGTGGGGTTCCTGTATGGTTTCCAGCATCAGGAAAGGGTGGGGTGGGAGGCGTCCGTCTCCTCTGGTGTCTGCAGCACAATTGAGCTCTAGGACCTGCCCTTTATACTTCCTGTCTTGCCTCCTGACTTCCAGTGGGAGGGATGGGCACAGCTTGGCTCCACACACCTGGGCTCAGAGTGTGGTCCTGCCCACTCTGGCTCAGTGGGAGGCCACTCCACCTCACTACAGGGAGGTGCTAAAATGGAAGTGAGATCATGATTGTTGGACCTGTAGGTCAACAAGAGTCTGCAGCATTTGTGTTTCCTGACTAAAAAGACTCATGTCCCGGTGCATCTCCATCTCCTTTTCCCACTGGGACCTCTGGGCTTTTCTACACAGTCTGCCACATTCGCATAGCAGGGCCCCCATTCACAGTCCAGTGCAGCACTAGCTTGGAGGATCTCAATGAACCTATCCTCCACAGTCCCCTTCTTTCTCGTTCTCATCAGGGTCAGGCATTCCATGGTGTGGAAGGGGTACCCCACAGGGCCCCAACAGCAGTAGCTACAGATAAAACAGACAATGTATCTTTGGATTTACAGTCACAATGGAAAGTGAAAAATAAATTTCAGAACCCCATTCTCTTAATCCCATAAATATTTTTAATAAAACCATGCTTGTTGACACTTCAGCTTTGAAGTGCCTCTGCACAGTCTAGCTCCCCAGTCCCAGGCATTGGGAATATGGCCCACCAAGGGCATAGAAGCTGGGGGGAAGGGGTGGGGAGAAATGAGGAAGGAATTTTTCCATTATATGAAACATCAGCCTTTATTTCCATGTGTACGAACATAGGGCAATAATACTGTGGCACTAATTTTCCACAGGCAGTAGTTATTTTAGCTGATGTCTCACTCCTGAGGGTAACAAAGGCACAGAAAGCATAGTTGCTACTGATGTCCCAAAGCTGTCCAGACCCATATGCCACTAGCCTGTGAATTGCAATGGTGCCAGGCGAAGTCATCACAGAGTGGCATGGGAAAGTGACCTACCATTGAGGAGTAAATAAGGCAGCCACTCCTAGAAACCTTCAGGAGAGGACTGCAGAGTACATCTATGAAGCCTTCATGAAGATTTCTTTGCATCTTCCTGGGAACATTCCTATGAACTGCTCTGCATGCCACCCCCACATCCTCCCTCTCCCCCCGCCCACCTAACCATACAGGGGATTGAGAAGCAGACAACTATCTGGTTGTTATATTGCTACCTCGTCTCATACAAGTAAAACAATTAAAGGCAATACCTGTGTCTGGCTAACTTCATCAGGTTCCTCTGTGCTCAGCTGGCAGGACTTGCTAGTCCGCGGTGGAGTAGTGAAAGTACATGGCTCGCAGCACAGCTGGATTCCCCTACAACATCTCCCACCTCCACCTCACTGTTGATCACATGGGTCTCTATATCAGGCTCCTCCAAGATATCCACGGTGGTCTGCAGATGCTGGTGGGTTCTCTGCCAAGTATTGCATGCAACTCATGGTAAAAACGACAGGTGTGCAGCTTGGCATCAGCTCAACTGTCGGCCTCCATGGCCTTGTAGAACACCTGCTGCAGCATCTTTGCTTTCATGCGGCACTGCTGCTGATACCTGCATCTGCTATGCAATATTTTCATTCATGTTTCTATGACTATTCCATAGCTCTGCCTACACAGCCTCTTCTCCCCATACATCTAGGAGATCCAATACCTCATGTCTACTACAAGCAGACACACATGAAGCCGGCATGGTTGGTTGAGCAGCTGTACACAATGAGGGAGAGCTGCCAAAGTGGGAAATCAGGAAAAGGCATTTTAAAAAATTGGTGAGGGTTTAAAAGGTGGGGAGACATGGCTTCTGGTCTCTGTGACACCTGGGCAGTGGAGTTCACAATTGTGACCAGAGTGATCATTGTGGGACAGCTGCTGAAGGACTGTTAGGGTCAAGATAGGTCACACAGCATTTACAGTCGCTCTGCATCAACCACAGTACGTCAAGCATGGCTCAATGCCATTTGGGCAGGGGTGTTATGTCGCCCTAACAGGGGCACTTACATAGGCAGCAATCAAATCTGAGTGTAGACATAGACACATGTAAGTCGATGCAAGGTGACATCCAACCTATCTTTGTAGTGTAGGCCAGGCCTGAGTGAAGGAGCTATTTCTTTAGATGAAAAATAGAAATCAGTGCTGTGGTTTTGGAGGGTGGTCTGTCCCCTCCACATATGTTTGAGTTCCAAAGCCTGGAACCGAAGACTTTTCACAAGTTCCACCATAGAGTCTGAACACTGTGTTGGTGATCTTCTCATTGATGTTCAGTGCCACACCTTTCCACTCCACTGTTCCAAAACTAAGGCCTAACAGCTTTTTTTGTATTTCCAATATTACATATTTGTGGTACCATATGCTTGATCTCAGAAAGGGGAGTCCAGCAATAGGAGTTTCATTTTACTCATCCCTTAATTAGCTCCTCTCTGTGTGCAACAAAACATTAGAAAACGTTTGCAACTTTGACAATAATTTCATTTAAGGATACTCCAGCTTTAGAACACTTGTTCAAATCACTTTACATTTTCCCCACAATTCTACTCTTGTCCCTGACGTGATCTCCATTTTGAAGTCTGATTTACAAAAGATGCAAAATTCAGCTTTAAACACCACCTGTGGAAAGGCTGCCACCTTTCTATAATGAAGTGGGAATTATGGAAAATCACCAGACACATAGCAAACAGATGCATTTAAATATAATCCAGGTATGTTAAGTATCCTTTGCATCCTTTGAAACAGACCCTGTGAGGTGTTGAGCAACTCCTGTGAAATGCCAACCATCTTCAACTAACTTCAATAGCAGTTGAAATTGTTCATCTCACAGGACCAGACCTTTAATTTGGAGGTCTAAACCAGTCCAAGAAACTTACCTGTATGAGTTTCCTTGTTCCTTGGTACATCACTCTGCTTTTTCCAATACTGAGTCCAATTGCAGTGAAGGGAGGCTGTGTGTCCCACCTGTAGGTGAAGCTGTCTTCCACCACATTTGACTGATTCCCTTAATTGGTGAGCTTGTGTTATGCTGGTCAAGTTTTGATCATTGTTGTGAACACCTGATTCTTTGCTCCTCTCGCTAATTTTATCTTTTGGAGCGTAAGTAAGAGGAGGTTTCTTAACTTCTTTTGTATTTTTACTGCGGTGAGTATCTTGTTTTTTCTGGATTTCTTTACCAAACTGGGGTTTACTCCACATGGACTTCCTGGGGTATTTCTTGTTCACAAATGGATATCTTTTTTGTTCATCACTATTGCCAGCATATCCATCGAACAATGCTTTGGCAACAGATGCTTCTGAAGAGTCAGACTGAGTCAGATCCAGAGATTGTATGTTTTTAAACATATCATCCTTCTGTTTAGATGTCACTCTCTTATCCCGCTCATGTAATTGCTTCCCTTTCTCTTTGAGACCTCTTCCAGGTGCAGGCATCAAGTGTGTTTTCTTTGGTTTTGCCCCTCTATTATCTGCACCAGATACCTCCTTGTCACTCTCTGAAGAGCAAAAGTCATTGTATTCTTTAGGCTTGACTCTCCACCTTGGTACTAATGTGGTATCTAAAATTGTCATGTCTTTTGTACCATCAGTAGATGATTGCCTTATCCGGTTTCTAGTATATGTCCTATCACTTCTAGATCTCTGCCATCGCTGACTCTGAAAACTATGATTCTTATGAGGTTTACTGGTACCACCATGCTGGAGAAAATCTTGCTGGCTACAGTACTGGCTTTCTGGACTATAAAAGCTGGGTTGCTTTGTGGAAGAGCTTTCATAGTCTGTGCCTCTATCAGAAGATTGACTAGGAAGTGGTAGAGTATCATTTCTGTTCTGATTCCTATTGGATTCTAATCTACTCAGACTTCTCCAATTTACATCAGGAGTCTCGCTCTCTCTGGGAATGAAATCAGCTGCATCCGGATTGAAGTTTAATACACCTAAAAAGTAAAACAAAACAAAAAGGTTGCTGAAGTTCAGAACTGCGTAAGTATTAAAATTCCTCTAATGATGTACCACAGCAAAATCTACTGCATACACAATGGGCCGAATAGTGCAGCTGCTCCAAACACTAAATTGCAGAATAAGGACCAACATCCAGGAGTTCAATTTTTTCAGGGAATTTTCATTGCTTATATGAAAAATAGTTATTTTCAGGCATGTTAAATTTGTTCTGTGAGTAAAAATTTCACTAGGAAGAAAATTCTGCAGTCTTCTGAGTGCAGTGTCCTTTAGCTAGCCAAGTAAAATATCACATTTAAAGACTTATCACAAGAAACCCTTTGCATTCCTGAAACCTCCTTTCTTCACCCCCATGACCTCCATTCTTTATGTGACTGTCCCCTCTTTTCCCTATCCATTGTCCCATTTTGGACACTCACACCACCTCCTCACACATACCCTCTCTACTCCCACCCAACCTCACTTTGGCATTCTTCCCCACCCCCCCATGTCCTCCTCTTCTCATCAACTTCCTTTCCCCCATGCCCCCTTTTTCCTACCCTCTCTTGTTCCTCCTCTCTACCCCATTTGTTGATTCTTCTCCCCACTCTTCCTGCCTGCCAGGTCCTGGTTCCTGGACTAAGGTGGGAGCGTAGTAATAAAAAAATGTCCTTTTCCTTAGTAGTATGAGGCCCAGCAGCAGTGGCAATAAGGGGGAAGTCTGGAAAGAAGGTTCTTCTGATCCCAGTGCTGGGAGACTGGTGACAGCAGAAATGGAGTGAGGTGAGGAAAGAGACAAAGGGTGACTCATGTAGGCGGGGAGCACTGGGAAGGAGCCTCTCCTAAGCCAAAGCTGAGGGGCATTTGTGGCACTACTGCTAAGGGAGGTAGGGTAGGGGCTAAGATGTTATCTCCCTCTTCCACTCCACCCACTTTTATTTTAGCTCCCTCCCAACCCTTTTATACTGTGGTAGAGCTATAGGCAGATTCCTTTGTTAATTTCCACAGGAGCTGTGGGTCCTTTGGGCAGGCAATATGTTTGCCACTCCTGTCTTATATGATGAAGAGATAGTAGCTTCTCTACAGTTCAAGTTGCAGCCATCTTCTATCAGAGATAGGGCTGCCAAGTGATTAAAAAAATTAACTGTGATAAAAAAAATGAATCACGATTAATCGTGCTGTGAAACAATAGAATACCATTTATATAAACATTTTTGGATGTTTTTCACATTTTCAAATATATTGATTTCAATTACAACACAGATTACGAAGTGCACACTACTCACTTTATATTTTTATTAAAAATATTTGCACTGTAAAAATGATAAACAAAAGAAATTGTATTTTTCAGTTCACCTCAAATACCGAAGTGCAATCTCTTTACCGTGAAAGCACAACTTCCAAATGTAATTTTTTTTGTTACATAACTACACTCAAAAACAAAACAATGTAAAACTTTAGAGCCTACAAGTGCACTCAGTCCTACTTCTTGTTCAGACAATCGCTCAAACAAGTTTGTTTACATTTGCAGGAAATAATGCTGCCCACTTCTTGTTTTCAATGTCACCTGAAAGTGAGAACAGGCGTTCACATGGCACTGTTGTAGCCAGCGTTGGAAAATATTTACCTGCCAGATGTGCTAAACATTCATATGTCCCTTCATGCTTCACCCACCATTCCAGAGGACATGTCCATGCTGATGATGGGTTCTGCTCGATAACGATCCAAAGCAGTGCAGACCAATGTATGTTCATTTTCATCATTTCAGTCAGATGCCACCAGCAGAAGGTTGATTTTCTTTTTTGGTGGTTTGGGTTCTGTATTTTCCGCATTGGAGTGCTGCTCTTTTAAGACTTCTGAAAGCATGCTTCACACCCCATCCTGATCAGCTTTTGGAAAGCACCTCAGATTCTTAAATCTTGGGTCGAGTGCTGTAGCTATCTTTAGAAATCTCACATTGGTACCTTCTATGTGTTTTGTCAAACCTGCAGTGAAAGTGTTCTTAAAACAAACAACATGCTGGGTCATCATCCAAGACTGCTATAACATGAAATATATGGCAGAATGCAGGTGTAAAACAGAGCAGGAGACATACAATTCTCCCCCAAGGAGTTCAGTCACAAATTTAATTAATGAGCGTCATCAGCATGGAAGCATGTCCTCTGGAATGGTGGCCAAAGCATGAAGGGGCATATGAATGTTTAGCATATCTGGAACATAAATACCTTGCAATGCTGGCTACGAAAGTGCCATGCAAACCTCTGTTCTCACTTTCAGATGACACTGTAAGTAAGAAGCGAGCTGCATTATCTCCTGTAAACACAAACAAACTTGTTTCTCTTAGCGATTGGTTGAACAAGAAGTAGGACTGAGTGAACGTGTAGGCTCTGAAGTTTTACATGGTTTTGTTTTTGAGTGTAGTTATGTAACAAACAAAAAAAATCTACATTTGTAAGTTGCACTTTCATGATAAAGAGATTGCACTACGGTACTTGTATAAGGTGAACTGAAAAACACTTTCTTTTGTTTATCATTTTTACAGTGCAAATATTTGTAATAAAAATAATATAAAGTGAGTACTGTACACTTTATATTGTGTTGTAATTGAAATCAATATATTTGAAAATGTAGAAGACATCCAAAATATTAGAGTACCAATTGAAATTTATTAAACAGTGCGATTAATTTTTTTGAGTTAATTGCATGATTTGACTGCGACTAACTGACAGCCCTAATCAGAGACATATTTCAGTCACACTAACTCTTGCTTAGAAGACTGGTTTAGTCAGAAAATTGCTAAATTTATTCTGAAGGCAAAAGGGAATGTTTTTAAGAAGTACGAAGAAAACTCAAATTGTTTGATAATGTTGCAGGTCATTAAGAACTTAGCCTAAAGTAAAAAATTCAAATCTGGGTGTCATTTGACTTTTTTATGTATCTCCTTGAAAACTCATGCAGCTGCTTTATTCATTGAAGAAATTAGGTTGTGATTAAATAAGGTTATTAACTATTTTTGTGGTGAGTGGTTTGGGGTGTAATAGGCAAAATACTGATTTTCAATCCATGGAATTTTTTGTCATTGAATCCACTGGCGCAAGAGTGTGTAAAATATTTGCACGAGCATATTGCAGCTTAGAACGTTTAAAAAGTCCTTCCATTGCTAAACAGATAAGTAGTAAAGACAAGTGGCAGAAAAGGGATGTATTCTAAAGCTGTGGGTCCTGTCTTCTAATTCCATGTCTGCAGGTGTATGCACTTAGTTATGGAAAGATAACCTCTACACAGTTGAGGTTGACGCAAGGGTCATGTAAGGATGATTTTTAATTTCCTTTAACCCACCCTCCAGCGCAAAAAAAATGCCATACGTACTATGACACAGAGGCAGGTGATCAAAATGGCCAGTGTCCCAGAAATTTACAGTTTAAACATTTCAGATACACAAACTCTGCCTAATCTACTTTCTTTTATGAAAGACCTGAAAGAAAAGATGGCACAAAGTTCCTTACTATAGTTTTCAGCTAATGAAGTATACTAACTTACTCCCCCACTCGCCTTGTGAAAGAGGTAAATCTACGGGTTTGTTTTTAAACACACACGTTTGAGAATATTTAAAGTTAGGTAACATTTGTAGGAGTTGTTAGAGTTGCTAAGTCATGCTTTACTCTAAAATGAAAACATCAGCTTCTTATGATTTAGGATAAAACAAGCTTGTATATTTTTAAAACTTAGCAAACTGCAAGCCTTTCATTTTTAAAAAGCATTCCTTACTACAATTCCTTTCTGCCAGAGGCTGGGAATGAGTGACAGGGAATAGATCACTTGATGACTGCCTGTTCTGTTTATTCCCTCTGGTGCACCTGGCATTGGCCACTGTCGGAGGACAGGATGCTGGGCTGGATAGACCTTAGGTCTGACCCAGTATGGCCATTCTTCTATTCTTAATATGTTTATGTCAACTATAATACACTTTGTATGCATAAATACAAAGATAATTTTTAAACATGATCATTTCTTAAGCGGTAATCAGCTATTCAAACCAGGTATATTAAATAAATGGCATGCTCAGAAAAACAAGAAGATCATTAAAAAGGAATACTTTTTACAGTGACCTAAACCAGGGGTTCTCAACCTTTTTCTTTCTGAGGCCACCGCAACATGCTATAAAAATTCCACACCCCACCTGTGCCACAACAACTGTTTTTCTGCATATCCAGTAGATTAAAAGCCAGGGCTGGTGGTAGGGGGTAGCAAGCAGGGCAGTTGCCCAGGTCCCCAAGAAGCTAAGTTGCTTGGGCTTTGGCGTCAGCCCCAGCCCCGGGCAGCGGGGCCTGGGCTTCAGCTCTCTGCCCTGGGTCCCAACAAGTCTAACGCCAGCCCTACTCTCTGGTTTATTTTGGCGGAGATCCTGATATCTGCTCATGGCCTTCCGGGGGACTCCTGACCATTTATTGAGAACTGCTGACCTAGACACATCCTTGTTAGCACTAAGGGTCAAGCCATGAAATCCAACAAAATTCATGATTCTACTACATGAACTGATTATATATACACTCATTAGCTAAAAGCACTAAAAACATCCCATTGACCTGATATATGAATTCAGCTAAATTTCTACAAGGTGTGCTCTTACAATGAAACTCTCTAAGATTGGATTAAAACCCTTTGAAGCTTAAATAAAAAACAACCAACCAACCAATGGAAACAAGAGCAACAACATCGAAAAGATTCTTTAAAGGTGGCAGGGGTGGTCCATGCTTAAGATTTGTTATTTGGCCAAATCCTATAACCCTCGAATTAGTCAAAGGGAGAGAAGCTTCTTTGAAAGCTGCAGCAATCCAAAGCGAAAACTTCAACTGCAGCAGATTGTAACATTGGCAACTATACAAAAGACATCTCGCAACAACAGAACAAAACCTCAGCCCAGCACTATTCCTGCAAACTTTAGCTGATGAGATAAAGTCCTGCATAAGCACTAACAGTCAGACTGCGAC